GTTGCATTTTTTATATGTTGGACTATACCGTTCTATCGTGTAGCGTTGGTGTAAGAATATCCTCAGAGTTTCAGTGGATATTTTAATTTATTTCCATAAATATTTTATATGTGGCCGAGCCATGTTACAGCTATATTAGAAGTATAGTTGTAGCACGAATGGGTCGGCTCTACCGGGGATGGACCACGCTCTCACAGAATACCAGCGTAAAATAGTAACTTAACACTGCTGTGCTTCTTATGGTGAGTGTAGAGAAAAGAGGCAATGCATCTTAGTCGTCACGGGTGACAACGCATCTGCATTTTGATTCTTTATTGAGGAATTGAGGATAGATATAGATGTCTATGGGTCACAGCAACTGTGTGCTCATTTGTCACACATATTCTATAAAAAAATGGAGCCTTTAGATTTAATGGTTTGAAAATAATTATAACAAGAAGATCAAAGAGCTAAAATTATCATAACGAAATCATTTTCTTATTATACAAGTGTATTGTCACGCATGCAATATTTAATGAAAACTGCAAACAATTTGGAAGTTCTTGTAATGGTTGGTTGGTTAGTAGTAGTCGTTTTTAAGATTTGCACCCAAACCCATTATGTGTATTGTTTTGTACTGTAAAACAATATGACAATGTGGCGGGCTGACCTCACACTTTTGTATACTGTTTATTTATACATCTTTAATTTTATTTTCTACAAATGAACCCTTTTAGATAGACTCTTTATTCTTCTCATCACCGACTTTCTATTTTTCTTCTTAGAATTGCGCAAGTCGATGATGCAGGTGACTCTAGACCGTACTTTTTAGTAATAACTGAGGAAGGTCTGATTATGCTGATGATGTTGATGATATCATACGAACATATTTATATTCCAAATATATGTACTGATGTACTTTATCAGTAAATAAAAGAATACCAAATAATATATAACGTAATCCTGTTCATTTTATAATGAATATTTACGTCAAGCTTTTACTTAGCTGGTCAAATATTAATTAAGTTAAAATTTTGAATAATAAATCACTTTTAGTAAGTGTTTATAAGGTTCTAGATCATTAAAGAAACATGATATTCATTGTACTACAAAATGTCTGTTCACTGTTGCTGTAAAGCGACGTAGTTTTTTTTTTGGTATGAAAGTCTGTCATTGACAAAAAATGCAATTAAATTACGAAATTAATAAAAAATATTTCCTCTTAAAGAGTAGGTGCCATAGTTACAAGATAATAAGTTACAGAATGTAAGTATGAGATTGGGAGACCTGCGATAAGCATAGGTTATGCTTGCTTGCAATACAGGTCACCACTCACCAGGATCCTATTCATTTTCTAACTTAAGTGGAGGATGAAAGAGACAGTAAAAACGTTGATACACTGTGTATGCGTGTATGCGTGCGTGCGTGCGTATGTGTGTTTAGGAGTTAGATACTAAAATTTGGAAGATCTACCGCAAAGTTGGTAATACAGCTCATGGGTCATGACCACAGAACACAATTAGTCTCTACCAAGAGAAGAACGCCAACTTCATACAAAAAACGGAACCACGCGTTTGAGTGTATACTAAAAGCGCTACGCTAATGGACGCCCATATAAAAAATTTTAGCGGGATTTTCAAATCTCAAGCCTTCAGAAGCCGCCTTCACAAACGTATGGGGTAAATTCGCATACATTTGAGAGGTTGCACCAAAATCACTCGAATATACTTTAGATTAGTATGTGGGATAAAATAAAAGTATAAATAAGTATAGTTATGTAATTTTATTTTCTGGAAGACAGATTGTTTTATAAACTATACATTATTATTGATGTTTTTTATTGCTTTTGCACATAATATTTCCACGAAAACACGTAACACTTATGTATAACACATGTTATTGTCAGAGAGCTATTTTTCACAGCACATTAACGTAAATTTAAATCACCAAAATTCTCATGGTGAAAATTTAACTCAGCCCAAATACGTGATCTAAAACAGATACAATTCAAGTCAACATAGTAATAATCCCTAAAAATAACGGTCAATAAATTCAAAATGTTTATAGACTTACTACAACATTGTGATAAGTTTTTCTTTTCCTATTATAGGAAACCTGCAGAAAGTATACGGACGATTTTGTGCTTTTTTATTTGCACACTTAACTTACTTTCGATGATGATCACACATCGTGCATAAAATTCTGAAATATAAATTCATTTATTTTATTATTATTATTATTATTTTTAAAAAAACGTTACCCCTAAAACTAGGATTTTTTTCCTGTGTCATGGAGGCAGTTTACAAACATAAATTGCACAAAGACAAACATACAGACCCGGAACAATTATTTGTAGGCCATACAAATACTTGTTCCGTGCGGGATTCGAACCCGCGGCCCCCAGCGCAACAACTGATTGCTAAGCCACTGCGCCACGGATTTATAGTCAACATCTTATACAAAATTCAAACATCTCACAAAAATCTTTACTGTATATTCACGACGCTAGTATGACTGTGTATTCGCCTACAAATGAAAATGAAGTATACAGAGCCCATAATAACTAAATTTAAACAAAAATCAATAATAAATATTAAAATCTAACAATTTATCGTGAATTAAATTTGGATTGACATTAAAAGTGTAGTTTAAGGCTATTTCATTTTTATTTTATTTTATTTATTTAATCTTTCATGCAGAAAGTTGTACATATGGCGGACTTAATGCCATAGGTCATTCTCTCCCAATCAACCATTAGGCAAATCAGAGATCGACAAACAAGAGGCGGTGCAGCAATAATCAAAATAGAAAGGGCTAAAAATATTGTATATACATATGATATACATATAAATATACATTTACACACGTACATACACCTATATACTTAAGTACACACAATATAGAGATATATTAAATACACATATACATGCATACAGTACATATAACACAATACATTTTAATATTATCTATGTCAGAACAAATATGAAATATACATATGTATATGAAAATAAGAGCTGTGTTAGTTCGAACTTGCAACGATTTTTTCACATGCTTACGGACTTGATTTCATTTTCCTATTGTTCTAAATAATTTCAAACATTACTAACTCTCTTTTTTTTAAATAGTTTCTTAATCTATAGACAGACAAAAACAAATTAATGTTGATTTTAATGATGATAATTAAATCACTTAAAGACACCACAGGACAATGGCGAAAATGGACCCACATATCTTACAATTAGCGAAGCATCGTGCCTATGCAAGTTGAAATTAATTATAATTAAATCTTTATACAATGTTTATATAAAAATTAATGGGGCAATGATTACATAAAAATTTTACTCACACTATCCCAGAGTATATTCAAATAGCAGGCAGTCCCGTCACGGTTTTTACAAAATCGTGATCAGGAGAGTTCTTTTCGTTCGTTCGTTCGTTCTCGTTATTTCCGTTTTAAGACCGAATATTAGAGACCGACCGAGAATGTAAAAACACAAATAGTTTGTGTTCAGGTTATTTCCAACTTCATTGCATAAGTTGTATTGGATGTAAGAAAGCATCTTGCTCAAATTTTGTTGAGCAAGGAGCAATATATCGTGTAGTGGCGGTGTAAGAATATCCACTACCCCATATTGTCCCGTGGCTGTCGCAAGAGGCGACAGAGGGAAACAAATCAGGAGATGGGCAGCAGCGTGTTCTTAATAATAGCTAAAAATAAAAAACTTCGGTTGCCAACCAGCTTGGCAAGTGTGGAAACTATGTGGGAGGCATATGTTCAACAGTGGACTTTAATCACCAATAAGTGGTTACGGTTTTAAGTTAACTATTGCAAATTGTTCAATAGTAACCTAAAAACGGTAAACACTATTTAATATTCGACAAGCGTAACATTCGATGCTGTGTTGAAGCGGCGCGGCGGTGCGGCGTAAGAAAATAAATCTCCCATTTCATCCCCCATGTGTCATAATAGGTGACTAAGGGAAATGTCAAAAAAAATAACAGCAGAAGAATATTATGTTTTGTATAATGAGTACAGAGTACCTGAGACCGTTTTCACTGCTAACAGGCCTATCATCTTATTCCTCAGGGGTGACAACGCATCTGCATTTTGATTCTTAATCGAGGATACATCTAGGTGGCTATGGGCTGCAGCATCCAGAATTAGGTGGAATATGTGCTCGCTTGTCAAATTTACTATATTAAAAAAATATTGATTCTCAACTAACCAAAAAATTATTTAATAGTAAAAATAGTGCTACATAGAATTCCATAATGTAAAAATACACTTTAATCAATGTACATTTTTATGGTTAGACCTACAGAATATTCTGGGTAAGTCAAAATGAATGTCAAATTGATAAGTTAATTCATTCCCGAGAAAGTTTTTCTTATGCGACTAAATGTTGCAAGTGTTGCAATATATCTGCGGGGTAATCTCGAAGGTATACGAAACTTAAAATGTTCTATTAAACTAGTAAAATAATTGTGGAATTAAAGAGTTTGTATATGTTAGGCACACTGTCTACGGAGGCGTAGCTTCATAGACGCTTCAAAATACGCCGTGCAGCTTAAGCAGCCCAGCGTACTGATCTCTATTCATGAGGCGTATTGCAAGCGTACATTGTCAATCATTTGTGAGAATGCAGTCGGACGACGAAGACGTTATTTTGGCTTATCACTACATTCGAAGTCGACGAAAACGACGATTATATTGGACCCATCCATATATAGAAAGAAATATCAACTGTAGATTGTTCATAGCGGCAAGAGAATTATTAGAAGATGACAGTGTATTTCACTCATTCTATAGAATGAGTAAAACAACTTATCAAAATTTACTTCAGATCGTAGGACCATTATTACAAAAACAGAATACCAATATGCGAGAATGTGTTAACCCAGATGAAAGGATATTAATCACGTTGCGGTAAGTAAAACAATATTTTAATCAAAATGGTTTATATTTTCCATCCAAAATATCAGTTTAAAAAAAATAACATGTATGTCGCATCCGTGAACTTTTATTGTATTGTAAAATCTTCCAAATCATTAATATTTTTTGAATAATTAATAGGGTTTAATGTGGTAATTTGTGTTTGTGAATAGTCAGAGAAAACTTGTGTGTCGTTAGAATAATTTATTGGAGAAGGTGTGGATGCTAGTGTTTGTGAACTGTGGAAGTTACCGGAAGAAATCGGCGAATAGACTTTGAATTGGTTTATCTGTGGCTGGATAACTGAACACGTTGGTTTTTTAATTTCTTCCAAAAGCTTCAACATTTTAATTCTAAATACACTCATTTGTTCATCTGTAAGACTTTGTATGTCGGGTAGCAAGCTCAGCAGAAACATTTTTCGTGGGTCATCTGTTTTATTTTCTTTTGTTTTTAACCAGTCTACAAAAGCTTTATCAGCTTCGTTGTTAACAGGTTTAATCCTTTTTTTTGGTTTTTGAAATGACGACCTCTCAACATGGGAATAATTTTCCGATTCAGTGTCTTCTGTAATATTCCTGTTAGGACCAACATATGCCTGTTCTTCGGGGCACGCTGGGGTCTCCTGATTTAGATTTGATTGTTCAGGATTTGGTAAATTTCCTCTTTCATTCATGACAGCAAGTACGGCAGGCGTCATGAAGCTTGCGTGCAGCGACGCGAGCGCGACGTTGCCGCTCCGTCGACAGAGTTACATTGTTTTGTATGTAAGCTGCAAGCAAGTGTACACCAAGCGTATAATGACGAATACGCGTCTAAGAAGCTACGCCTCCGTGGACAGTGTGCCTTACGGTTAAAAGTAGAAGTGCTGGTACACCTAGTTCTATCCGGCTAGAACTGACTGCGGTCAGCAGTATGTTACGGCTAATAACCGAAGTGCGGTTACACCCAGTTCTATACGGCTAGAACTAGGTGCGGCCAATAGTATGTTACGGCTAATAGCCGAAGTGCGATTACACTTAGCTCTATCCGGCTGGAACTAGGTGCGGCAGCAGTATGTTACGGCTAATAGCCGAAGTGAGGTAACACCTAGTTTTAGGAATTTATAAAAGTAGGCGAAGGTTATACGAGCTTTATGATGAAAGATCATATAATAGTAGTGTTATATTTAGAGATTATGTAAAAACATATTCTAAAATATTTAAAAAAGTGTGCTCCACTGCTAAGGCTTTACATTTAAGCAATAAAATTAAAACTGCATCCGACAAAATTAAAATGACCTGGAGAATAATAAATAGTGAAACGGGCAAGGTCAAACCGCGCAACTGGGATTTTCAATTGAATATTAACAATAATTTAACGCGATCTGATCAAGAAGTTTCTATGGCTTTTGAGAAACATTTTACTGATGTTCCTTTTTTGACAACAAAATCATTAAATTCTTCTCCTACTGTCGCCGAATCATTGCTCAAACAAAATGTAAAGGCTTGTTCAAATACTTTTAAATTCCATAGGGTACTGCCAAAAGATATCGTTAAATATTTTAAAACTATTGATGTTAAGAAAACGGCAGACTTATGGGGGATTTCCGTTAAAGTTATTTTATCTATAATAGATACATTAGCACCTTATCTAGCCACTATATTTAATATAAGCGTCGAATCTGGTGTGTTTCCTGATTTAATGAAACATAGTAAAGTCATACCTATATTTAAATCTGGTAGTACATTAGACCCCGCCAATTTCAGACCAATTTCTGTACTACCAACATTAATTAAAATTTTTGAAAAAATTATTTTAGATCAGATGTTAAGTTTTTTTAATATTAATAAATTGCTACATAATAATCAATTCGGTTTTACAAGGGGTCGCTCGACAACTGACGCTGGAGTTGAGCTTATTAAACATATTTTTTGTGCATGGGAGAATTCAGAGGATGCTTTGGGTATATTTTGTGACCTTTCCAAGGCCTTCGACTGTGTTCACCATGAGACATTAATCAGGAAGCTACAGTACTATGGTGTCAAGAACACAGCGCTTAAACTTATTATTTCATATTAAAGTAATAGAAAACAGAAGGTTATTATCAATGGTAAAAGTTCTTCCGGGTCACCTGTACTAATGGGTGTACCTCAGGGCTCGATTCTCGGCCCATTCCTGTTTCTGGTGTATATTAATGACTTACCTCACCTTGTAGGGGATAGTCATGATATAGTATTATTTGCTGATGATACTTCCTTGATTTTTAAACTTAAACGTCAATCATTTAAATGTGACGAAGTGAATAATGCTATATCAAAATTAGTGCATTAGTTTAACGTTAATAATCTGCATTTGAACGGAAATAAAACTAATTGTGTTAAATTTACAACAACGAATGTTCAAAATCTGAATACCAATGTGTTTTTAAATGGGGAGGAATTGAGCCCTGTTGTATCCACTGTTTTTCTTGGCATCACTCTTGACGCAAAGCTCAAGTGGGGCCCCCATATATCCAAATTAGCAAGCAGACTAAGTTCTGCAGCCTATGCTGTAAAAAAGATTAGAGGTCTCACTAGTGTCGAGACAGCTAGATTAGTTTATTTTAGTTATTTTCATAGCATAATGTCTTATGGGATTTTGCTATGAGGAAATGCGGCTGATTCAGAAACTATTTTTGTTTTACAGAAGAGGGCCATTAGAGCTATTTACAATCTAAAACCGAGAAAGTCTCTTAGAGATAAATTTAAAGAAATTAATATATTAACTTTGGCCTCTCAGTATATTTACGAAAATTTAATGTATGTTCACAAAAACAAAGATAGTTTTAGTAAAAGAAGTGATATACATTCTGTAAACACTAGGAACAAACACAAGCTAGTGATACCAGTTTCTCGACTCCACAGAGTCAGTAATTCATTCTTGGGGCAATGTATACGCTATTACAACAAGGTCCCGGAAAGTGTACAGGTTCTCTCTATTACCAAGTTTAAATGTTTTATTAAGCTGAAACTGTATAAAAAGGGTTATTATAGTATAAATGAATACATGGTTGATAATAACCCCTGGGAATGAGGTGATCGCTTCCAAGCAGTTTCTAAAATAAATTTTGTAAATAGTTCGTAATCATTTATATTGTAAAATTTATTTTAAAAAAAAAGTCCCGCTGGGTTTCTTGCTGGTTCTTCCCAGGACAGAGGGTTTTTTTCGAACCAGTGGTAAAGTAAAAAATGACTTTCAATAAGAATTACACATGTAATGTATATTGAATAAAAAAAATTCTATTCTAAATATTCTATTCTATTCTATCCGGCTAGAACTAGGTGCGGCCAATAGTATGTTACGGCTAATAGCCGAAGTGCGATTACACTTAGTCCTATCCGGCTGGAACTAGGTGCGGCCAGCAGTATGTTACGGCTAATAGCCGAAGTGCGGTTACACCTAGGTGTTGCCGGCTAATACAAGCTATAGTGGATTGCGGTTGATGTATCATACATAATTTATAAATTAAATAAGGTGCGGTTAAGGTGGCCAAATGGTTTCGTCGTCATAAGTAGAAATGAGACATACTTGGTACTTGCAAAATTTAATACCAGGGCTTCTAAGTAGCTAAGTACGAGTATGATCAGATAAAAAATACAAATGTAATGAATGATATATTTATCTACTAGCTAGAACTAAATCATATGAGAACACTAAGTATATTTACTGCAGGAACTTCTATCTAGTGTAATGGTAAAACCTCAAGTATTTGGAATTTTACTGTATAACAAATATCAAAATTTAAAATTTATAATAGAAGACTTTTAAATACCTTTAATATGGTTTAAACGGCTTTTTTTTAATTTTAGTTTCAATTAGCTACTTAAATTAATTTATGTAGTAAGTAAATGGTGCAAATAGTTTTTGACAACCCTAAAAATCATGTTTCTATTAACCCCCTTTTCGTTTCCAATAACCCCTCATTTGTATCTATTCACCCCTTTCTTCGTTTCTATTCACCTCGAATTGGAGAAAAAATACCAGTGTCCGGATTTTACTATTTAAAAGAATAAAATCGTTGGATTATGCACAATACTAAAAACGTTTTATACAGTCCAAGCGTACATTTCTGCTGGCTTCAACATTTCACGCAAAGCGATCGTGTGGTGGCGGTGTAAGAAAGTTCACTACCCTATGTCGTCCCGCGGCTATCTTAAGAGGCGACAGAGGGAAACTGAAACAGGAGATGGGCAGCAGCAACTTGATAACAACTCAAAGTAATGAAAAACTGCGGTTGCCAAATCCCCTGCCAAGCATGGCAACTATGGCAATATTGAAGAGAATCTATGGCGGAGGCCTATGCTCAGCAGTGGACTTTTATGGGCTGTAATGAATGGATGGATCGCTGTAGTTCCACCATTACCTACAGCCTATCAAGTTACTACTACTGGACGTAGGCCACACCCAAATGAGACATTCCATAGACGTCGGGGGTGACAAGACATTCGCATCTGCATTTTGATTCTTAATCGATGACAGATGATGTAGATGTATATGGGTGACAGCATTTACTTACCATCAGGTGGACTGTGTGCATGTTTGTTACCCTTACCTCATAAAGAAGAGAATAGTCTGCAGTTGCACTTTTAGACGTAATGCACCTTTAACTCTCCTTCCATTGTCAGTCTGTAATTGATTTGATATTAATTTATTTTAACCACATCTAGTTACCGTGTAGTGGGAGTGTAAGAATATCCACTACGCTATGTCGTCCTGTGAGCGTCGTTAGAGGCAACGGAGAAAAACTGTAGGGTATTTTTTAATTAGTTGCCACGGATGGCAACCTTTTTTTATTCAGCTGATATCAGGAAGATTGTGCTGCCCGTATCCTGGTATAGCTTACCTCTATCGTCTCTAATGCCACCTACAGAACTATCCATATGAAGTAGGTATCCCCTAACCCAGGGTTTCCGAACCTTTTTCAGGGAGCACTGATTTTTTTTTGTAGTTAGCAGGGACCACAAGGTACAAGAAAAATATGTGTTAATTTAACAATAAATTATGATCATACCTTTTAACATAATCATGTAAGAAACTGAAAAGAACCATTCATTACCTACAGAATTATTAGTGTAAAACCTAGTAGGTACTTACAAACGTAACGCGCAGTATTGCTCTAACCGCGTGACGAGTAAATTATAAATGTGTTATTTAAAACGATTAGGTGGGTTAAATATTTAAATCTTTCGCGGACGATATTTAAGCTCTTGCAGACCACTGCACTGGTTTGGAATCACTGCTTTAATCCACCAACGAGGATATTCTTACACCAACGCTACACGATAGAACGGTATAGTCCAACACATAAAAAAATGCAACATAGTTAACGTAGTTTTCGTGAACCGCGTCGGAGGTGAACTTTTTATAAAAATTATAACTTTTATTAATATATTTTAGTTCTATATCTTTTATATACTTTTAGTACTAAAGAAGAATTTAAGAATAAAATATAACAGTCATAACAAATTTAAAGACAGATTTAAGATTAATAATAGAAAATACTTTGAGAATAATAGAACACATTAATAAGCCTAATATTATTCTAGAAATCAGAAAAGGTCGTTTTCTGATTTCGAAAACATTCAGCTCCAGTTACAAAATCGTTATCAGTTTCTCTGCGTAATAAACTTAGAAATGAGGATATCCGCAGTAGAATCAGAATAACCGACATAGCTCAAC